TATATATATATATATATCTATATATATATATATATGTATATGTATCTATTACAAGTCAATACAAGTGAAAATGGTCTGATATTTTGCTATATAGAAATATTAAAGTGTTATTTACTTGTATCATGAGTGTTAAGGAGGCCCTTAGAAATCCACCTGGAATATTCTTTCAATAAATTTGACGGAGGTTGGTAAGAAATGTCACATCCATCAAATGGGGAGATCGGACGAACATCTTCTTCAAACTTTTGTTTTCCTTTGTCACTGGACCCAAATTCAGTCAAATAGGGTGATTGAAAACTCTTTGATGGCATCCTATTTCATTGAACATGCGTTTCTGATTGTTCATACAATACATGACCATCTCATTGCCCGATATTTCCATTGGTAACTTACTGTCCAGCATCGATTAATGTGTTTCAGTTAACACATCTGACTTGACAGCACTCAATGGTTGAATATTCGAAGGAGTTTGAAGGCTAGAAAATAAGTGTGTCTATAGCTTCTTGGGTTCCAGAAGAAATGGATGTCGATGTGGTGGAATCCTATATTGTTTTGAGCAATAATAAAAATATTGTATCATTCAATAACTGATAAACACGCGACGAATATATTTAGAATTTACCAATGTATCAATATTGACTGCACTTTGTCTGGAAGTGGGATGTTATGTTGCAATTTATCATCAACATCTTGATCCATAGTTACTTGTTCAGATTTTTTGGTGCCAACCTCTACTGCATCATCCTGATTGGTTATAACAAAAAAAATTGCTATAATGATACAATGAATGATAAATAGATTTATACATAAATTTGTACTTACAATAACTTCTTTGGATACATCCTCGCCAACTCTTTGATCCTTTCATATATCAGTATATTATGCATATTAGTATATAAGTCAAATCAAATAATAATGTATCAAAAGCTGGAACTTATACTACATCTGTTGTGAATAAATATTTTTTTGAAGTATCAACATAATGTATCTAAAAAAATTAAGAATGAATCATAAAATTCAAGCTGAAATTGGATGATTGAACTAATGTATCAAAAAAGTGTGAGATACTTTTAAAAATATTGATACTTTAATTAAATGTATATGATACTTACATCTGCTCCCTCTACAACATCATCCTGATTGGTTATACAAAAGATTTTTTTATAATGATACATTGAGTGAGTAAATATGTCATAATAAACTTATACTTACAATAACTTCCTTAGATACACTTCCTTCAACAAGAGCATCTCTTGTGAATGGAGGTTCTGATACATCCTCTTTGCCTCTTTGATCCTTTAATGTATCAGCATTTTATGTAGATTAGTATACCAATAAATATTAATGAGTCAACAGTTGAAACTAATAATACTACATTATTTATGAATAAGAATTTTTTTAAGTTTACACATAATGTATCTAATACACTTATGAATGTATCATAAAATTCAAGGTGCAATTGGATGATTAAAATAATATATCAACAAGTGTTAGATACTTTAATGAGTATTTGATACTTGAAATGAATGTATATGATTCTTACTTCTCTGACCTCGTGTTGTTGTACGTGTGTTTGTTCTTCAGCATCTACATCAGCATTATCAACGAGGTCGTTGTTGGCAAACTTCATATCAATTTGGGGTTGTTTAACATTGGCTTCTTTGATTAACTCTTTCTCCGTGATTGAAATCGATCTGGCAGAAATTTTCTTCAGGCCAAAAAAATACCACATAATGAAAAAATAGCTTTAAAAATAGTAAATATTTGGTAAATAACAAGTACCTTCCATTTTAGCTTCAAACTTTTTGTCAACCTTTAAACATACTTAAATAAGTTAATATTGATTTACTGTAGAATAAATAATAATTCAATAATAATTATGAGAATCACTTACATATTTCTTCAGATATTGCTTAACTTCTTCGATATCTGGAATATCTTTATTTTCTTTAGGATCAGATGAAGAACCATGAAGATCGGGAACATTACCAGCAGAATCTGGAATAGAGAATGACTATTTTTGTATCACGGGAGACTGTTTTGGTTGTTTCATTGCTTTTGGTTTGGCCAAATCAACTTTCTTTCTACTCTTCGGGGGTGGTGTAGATGAGGTACTAGATACACGTCTAGTTCTCCTTACAATTTGATCAGGTGGTTTTGAAGAAAAACACTCAAACGCGGGAATGTCTTCTGATATAGCTTGTGTAGGTTTATCCGTAGACGTAGAATGTTCAGAATGAGAGACACCCATATTGTCAGGCAAATCAAGTACCGTCAATTCCTCATAAGTCGGTTGTATATTGGTACATGAATTCTAAATAAAATTTGTAAAGTCAGCATAACAAGCAGATTTGCAACTTGAGATATATAAAAATGATTGTTACCTCAGTAAAAATATTAGACATAAACATTTCAAATTTGGGCTTGACACCAACAACTCGCCAGTTGCGTATCCTAGGGATGTAGTCTCCCTTTTTTACAGCAATTTCATCGTCAACAACTGATGCACATTCATATACCCACACATTTAGAGCATAGGGCATGCCACCTAAACGATGCACCTGTTTACTTTGGTTCTCTCTTGCGTCCATGATTTCATTAACCTGGAAAATGCATGTTGTCCCCAAGAAAAATGTTGATATCTACCATCTTCAACCATCAGAAAGTCATTAGCATGGATAGATGCATCAGGTAGTTCTGAGAAAACAAATGTGTGGATGAAGTAAAGAATTCCCATTTGGAAAGTATCCTAACTGTTGTCTCAACTGTCATGTAGAAAACGTTGAACAAATCGTCCCTTGCTCACACCATTATACTTTACTAAATCAGGGAAATATCTTTGAACAAGTCTGCTCTCAGTAGAATTTGAATATTTAAAGTCATCAAAATTGCCTATGCATTTCAGTTCGGTTATTATTGCGAATTCTTTTATAGTGAAATGCAATATGTTGTCATTTGCATGCCGAATATGGAGCTCATTAATATTATCTTGCTCAAGCTCAAGAAGCAAGAAGCAACAAGCATTTTGATATTTGACCTTAATAATTGCAGGTATGAATGTCAAGGTATGACCCAAAAATAGAATTTGTAAATAACTAGATACCCTTGACACCCATATATGAAGAAGTTTAGCAGTCTTAAGCTTAAGAAGAATGCGCTAAACTTGTATTATGTATGTCGATAAGTTGTCAACTAACAGCATCCCATTATATAGGTAAAAGAAGTTGCTATGTTGTGTTATACAATGCATAGGACTCCTATTACATATAGTTGACTACATACTTATGCTAAGAACTGTAACATACTACAACTAGGACTCCTACTCCTTATGAAACTCATTATTATTCCCCCTCAAGCTGGAGGTTGGTAGTGAAACAACTCCAAGCTTGCTCTATAAAAATTTAAACTGTTGCTGATGGAACATATTTAGGAACCATTGCACCAGCTGCAACTTTCTCTCGCACAAAATGATAGTCTAGCTCAATATGTTTTGTGCGAGCATGGAGAATAGGATTACTGGTGAGATGTAACGCGCTGATGTTGTCGGAGTAAAGGACTGGAGGAGTAGAAAGTGATACCTCAAGATGTTGTAGCAAATGAAGAATCCACGTGATTTTAGCTGCTAGAGAAGCAAGAGCATGACACTCAGCTTCAGCACTAGATTTTGACACGGTATGTTGCTTCTTAGATGACCAGGAGATGCAATTAGCACCTAAGAATACACAAAGTCCTGTTGTTGATCGACAAGTTATAGCACATCCTGCCCAATCGGAATCTGAGAAGCCAACAACCTGTAAGGAGGATCTGGAAGTGATACGAAGTCCAAAATTTATAGTCCCAGCGAGGTAACGCAGAATATGCTTCACCCCTTGCCAATATGTAGTTATAGGAGCTTGCATAAACTGACAAACTTGATTGACAGCATGAATAAGATCAGGGCGTGTTAGTGTAAGATATTGAAGTCCTCCAACTATACTTCGATAATCGAAGGCATCAACAGGAGGTCCAGTTGCGACATGAAAATCACTCTTCTGTGATAATGGTGTATGGATAGCTCTAGCACAGTGCATCATGGTTTTTTTGAGAATGTCCTTAGCATACTTCACTTGACTAAGATAGATTCCATCAACATATGGCACAATTTCGATGCCCAAGAAGAAATGGAGAATGCCCATATCTTTTAAGGCAAAATGAGTACTTAGTTGGGAAATGAGGTTTTGCAAAAGCTGGAGATTGTTCCAAGTTATCACTATATCGACATATAACAACAAAATCACGATATCACCTTTCTGACGAAGAACAAATAGAGAAGAGTCAGCATGGCTTCCTAGGAATCCTAGGTGAAGAAGGGCTTCACTAAACCTCTGAAACCAAGCCTTTGGTGCTTGCTTTAGTCCATAGATGTCCTACTGGAGTAGACAAACATGTTTTGGTGCAGTAGAGTCTTCAAAACCCGAAGGCTGTTGCATATAGACAGTCTCTTTGAGTCTCCCATGGAGGAAAGCATTTTTTACATCAAGTTGGCGAAGAGGCCATTTTCGAACTGTGGCTATAGTTAAAACCATGCGAATTGTTGTAGACTTCACTACTGGACTGAAAGTGTCTTCGAAATCGAGACCCTCAATTTGATTATATCCTTTTGCTACCAAACGAGCTTTATATCTCTCGATTGTCCCATCCGCCTTCATTTTTGTCTTGAAGACCCACCTTGATCCAACCACATTCATTTGAGGTTCTCATTGTACAAGTCTCCAGGTGTTATTTTGATATAATGCCTGCATTTCTTCTTGCATAGCCTGCAACCAGTGAGGTTGAGATAATGCCTCTTGCAGGTTCCTTGGTTCACTGGAATTAGAATTAGCAGCGACTAAGAGAGTTAAGAAATCTGGTGGTTGTGACATGGCTTTTGACTTTGTCCTTGTTACCATATGATGAGTGTTCTCTGGAGAAGATTGTGATGTTGTTGGTGGACACTCGTAACCACTGAAATCAGCACATAAATCAGTCCCTGTGGACTCACCAAGCGATGAACCTATAGGTGATGTGGTTAGCGGACTAGTTGCTGGAGTTGTAGTCAAGACACCAACTGTTGGAGATTGCAGATTCTCAATAGGTGAGCTTTGTGATGGTGACATGGACGAAGCAATCACATTAGTAGTGGCATCTAAATCAGCAGACGGGAGAACATCTATCGTGCCATTGTGTTCATCAACAATGGCCTCGGGTACAGTAGCAACGTCTATATCATGTCCTTTATCTCCTGGGAAGTTCTTTGGTTCAATGAATTCTTTGTATGTAGACAAAGTGTAGCATTTATCCGTCATGTCCTGTGTGGAATTACAAGAAAAAGGTAGACAACATTCATCAAATATTACATGTCGTGATATATAAACTATTTTCGTCTGTGGATTATAGCATCTATAGCCCTTATGCAGAGAGCTATATCCGATGAACACGCAAGGAAAAGTTTTTGGTTGAAATTTATTGGTGTTAGATCCTTTAGATGTGGAAAACATCTACAACCAAAGACTTTCAAACCACTATAATCTGGTTTCCTTTTGTGTATCATTTGAAAGGGAGAGTACTGCATCTTCAAAATCGGCGTAGGGAGTCTATTTATAAGATATATTGTTGTCATAAATGCTTCAACCCATTAGTGCAGAGGGACATTAGCATTGAACAATAGAGCTAAACCAGTCTCAACCAAGTATCGGTGTTTTCTTTCGGCAACTCCATTTTGCTCAGGGGTGTGTGGACACGACACTTGTCTTTGAATTCCACAATGAGTAAGATGATCAATAAATTTCTGACTAGTAAATTCTCCGCCTCCATCACTTTGAAATTTTTTATTTTTCTATCAAATTGATTTTCGACCAATCTTTGAAAGTTTACAAAAGTGGCAAAAAAATCTGATTTTCTTTTCAATGGGTAGAACCAAGTGTATTTTGTATGATCATCCACAAAAATCACGTAATATTTGATACCTTGAGGAGAGGTGACAGGTGAAGGACCCCATAAATCGCAATGAATTTTGACAAGAATTTCAATTTCAACTTTATTTGATTTCTTAAAAGGTTGCTTACAACTTTTTCCCATTTGACACGTGGTGCAAACAGAAAAGTTTTTATTCCACCAACTACTAATTCTAACTAATCTATTGGAATGTAAAAACTGCATAGTCCTAAAATTAGGGTGTCCCAGTCTTTGATGTCAGACTTCATTTGATGCCTTATTTGAGCGTATGGCAACTAGAGCTTGATGCACTTCTCCATCTGCATACTTGGGATCCAAAGCATATAGTTCTCCTTTCCTACTCCCCTTTGCCAGTGTATTCTTTGTTTTCTTGTCCTTAACAACAAATTCAACGTAGAAAATTCCAAGAAACATTCATTATCACTTGCAAGTTTACTTACTAACAAAAGATTTTTCTTTAATTCAAGTACAACTAGAACATCTTTCAATTGTAAATTTGTGCCAATATTCTTGTTGCCAACATGAGTAATTTTGAGTTGTTTTCCATCACCCACCATAACTGATTCTCTACCTTTGAATAAAGAAGGATTTTGTAAATTACCTGTTGTTTGGACCATATGGTGAGTTGCTCCAGAATCCATATAGAAATTGTTGTCGGATGGCTCATTGAACCCTTGTGGAGTTTCTTGTTGGGTTTGGTAGGAGTAGTCCCACATGTAAAAGCAAGTGACATATGTGTGATTGTTTCTTCCACAGATTTGACACGGATTTGTTTGGGGTCGTGCATTCTTCTGATTATTCCCAGTAAAGTTGGATTGTCTCCCTGCCGTGTCGTTATTGTACTTAGGTCCGAATTGACCTCTTGCTCGACCTTGTCCCCATCCTCTAAAAGAGTTTCCTCTGCCTCTACCAAAATGTCCTTGTGTTTTCTGGGCTTGAAAAGCCATGGACTGATCGACACTGTCATTTTCACTGTCTTCTTCTCTCATGTCAAATCCTCTCAGTGCATTAAAAAATTAAGTAAAAGTTGGATATGGAGGCTTACCCAACATAACAATCCTCAAAATCATGTATTTGTTTCCAAGACCCTCAGCAAAGTTTATATAACTTTGTTGTCTTCATCTAAGGGTTTATGTATGGCGGTAAGGCTATCACAAATTCCCTTGAATTCTTTCACATACTCATCCATAGTTTTTGATCCGAACTTGATACTCTGAGTCTGTTGAGTCTGTTGTTTCAGTTAAAACTCCTTGTCTTTGCTAGCTTGTAGGTAATTGTCCTCAAGACTTTGCCGAATTTGTTTTGCTGAATTGCATCCGATGATAAGGAACATTGACTCCTCAGTCATGGTTCTAGCACTAGGCTTTTAGCCACACCAGTAAAGTGTAGCCTAAACTAGAAAAAAGTGTGGCCTTTGATAAAAGGCTACACTTTTGGACTTTAAGCAACGCTTTTTAGGGTGTGGCCAAAAGGAGTGTAACCTTTGACGGCAACACTTTTTAAATGTCGCCATCATAGCTACACTTATAAAGCGTGGCCAAAGAGGTATAAGGACACGCTTTGTAGTGATTCATTAGCAACACCTTTTTTTATTATACTACACTTAAAAGCGTTGCCTTTGCTATGTTATTGGTCACACTTAAAAAGTGTTGCCTTTTATCTCATCTATAACAACACTTATAAAGTGTAACTTTTCTTATCTACAAGATAACATTGGACGTCCTACAACAACACTTTTGAAGTGTGGCAATGTTGTGTAGAATTTTGTAGCCACCATTTTTTTTTTAATGCAAATAATTTTTATTTGCATATATTCAATAATCACATAAATAAATATACAAGTGACCTAAAGCACAAAATTAACTAATAATTAAATCGAAGCTATATATTTCAAATAAACTTCGAGAAACATGTCTTGTACAACCAATACTTAGAAAGTGATTGCTTAAAGATCTCTACTATCAATAAATTCCACAAAACTAAATGCATTCAAATATATATGACAATAGTACAAAAACTACTTCATCGTTCACTACAATAGATCGAGTTTACTTCTGGCCACAATTCAATTCAATTACCGGCATTTTCTTGCACATTCAAAATAAAATTATAAGTTAGTGAAATAAATCATGTATTTGAAAGTGCATAATTGGAGAGTATTCACCATAAGCCAACCAATCCAAATCAATATATGCAAATCATATAGAACATGCATGTGGCTTTTGTTGTAAATTACTATTTACCTGATGAAATAATAAGTTGGAGTATTTTATACATAAGTTATACATGATGATTGTATATGTAGTCTACACTTTACAGTTTACATAAACCCAATGCCCCGACCCCTCTATGGTATAACCCGTATAACCCATTCCGCATTTCATGACTACAGTACATAACCAGTTGTACCTGTATATACTCAAGCAGTATCAAAATATCCTGGGAAGGAAGCTGCCCCATTGCAGAAACAAAACAAAGCACAAGCATCAAAAATCTAAATAGCTTTATTGCAACACCAGAAAAAGCTAAAAGGGACAGCTTTAACCTTCCAAGAAATCTAAAAGGGATAGCTTTAACTATGAGAATCAGTTTAAGCAATGAAAACCAAAATCATCTCTCACAACAACCATCACAGTTCAAAGCAGTAAAACAACATGGGGAAAAAGTACATAACTACAACCCAAAATCACTAGAGTCCTCCTTCAACACAATACAACACTCATACAACTAAACATATAAACTTTTCTAGGTATAGAAGATGAAAGGAGACATTGAATGACAAAAAAAAAGTACAGACTGAACTTTCAAAGATTCAAGATAGTAAAAAAAATTCAGAATTTCTTTACCAAGAACACCAGCTCAACTAGAAGAAAAACAAAAAAAAAGTTTCAAAGACTTTTTTTTCTTATACTTGAAGTCAGGTGGATAGTTTATTAGTTTGAAACATTATCCTTCCTATGTCCTATGCATCTGCAGAACTCACACACCAACTCTTTCCAGAATTTCCAGCACTGTATTAGTTATAGAAAAGCTCAACTCTTTCCAGAATTTCCAGCACTGTATTATAGCTCAACAACTGAGTTTCCAGAATTTCCAGCACTGTATAATATTGCAGCAGCTGAGTTTCCAGAATTTCCAGAATTTTCAAAACTTCCAGCACTGTATATACTGTAAACTGATTATATAACCTGTACAGACACAATATCCTAGCAGGGAAGCTGGAGCCACAACTAAACTAATTTTATAACCTGTACAACCATTCAGATGAGCAGTGACAGCCTATGCAAATAGTATAAGTTGTTGTCATGGATTTTCTAATTCTTGGTGATCAGTTGTACTCTAGAGGGTAAGTCAAAAACTAACTTTTTAAAAGTAACTTATATAGTGTGTAAAGTTCAGTTACTTTAATGCGACAAAATAGTTTCTGAGTATACTATCTCACTTGCTTACAATATGTAGTCCATACAAATTGTACTAAAATAAATTCAAACAAAATCAGGACCTAGACAAACTATTTTTGATCAAATTGAACATTAGAACTTGAAGCCTCATAGCATCAGACAGCATTTGAGAACAATCAGACAGAGATATACAACGAGTAAGTTAAAAGATGCTCAAAAGAGAACTAAGCCACACTTGGAGAGAAAGGTAAACAACCAAATTTTACAGCCCCATTTCGAGAACCCAGAACACATAGCAGGCACACTTAAAATCG